GATGATGATGATGATGATGATGATGATGATGATGATGATGATGATGATGATGAAATGATGATGATGATGATGATGGGAAACACCAGGCAAAAAGAAAACAACAGACCTTGATGTCAGGTGAGTCTGCAATGAACAGAGCTGGAACAGACACGTCTATGTCCATATTCATCTCTGGGTACATTTTGTGAACAGAGGCGTAGGAGATCTTCAGCACCTCTCTCACAAAGGAAAAGTACAGGGCGATCACATTCTTTGTCTTCAATGGGTCAGTGATGTCATAAATCGTCTGAAAACGCTGATAGCAAAGAAAATCACAGGCGAAAATGACCTCCACCTCGTAGTTAAACATAGCCTCTCTTTGGGCCCTCACGAAGCCTCGCTGACGACTTCCGTTTCTGTTCCCATTTCCGCTTCCGGTTTGCTGTTCTTGTCGTCTGCTGTCCCTCCTAGGAGCAATTGTCTGACGCTTCTTCGGCTTTTTCAAATGTTGATCTTCCGTTCTGAGAAGTACAGACCCGCTATCAGACGAGAAATCCAGATTGGGTGTTGAAGTCGCTAAATGGAAACGCTTCGAGTCTTTAGAGTTTGATGAGTTGAAAGGTTCGATGAAGAACTGTCCATCACTCATAAGAAAACTTCCAAAGAGTTTGAAAGAGGAAAATTCGAAATCACGGATGACTAAGAACACAGCCTGGCTGTCTTTGTCTTGGTAAGTGCGGCAGTGACGAGAGAAAATTCTGGGGATGTGGTCAACACGCACTGGTCCTGTCTGCGAGCTTCGTGTCAGGAGAGGGATTTCGCCCGGGTCAGATTTCGGGGTCAGGGGTGAACTTGGACCACTATGCTGCTCTAGCCTGAAGTGCTGACGCTTCCCGCGACAAATGAAGTCTACTTCTAGACTGGAGGGCATGTGGTCATCTGATTCATCTGCTCTGCTTTCCCCATTTAGACCTCGAGACCGCGGCGAGGCAAAGGTCAAGGCTGTTATGTCAATGGGAACCAGCTCTGGGAATGGAACGTGAGAGAAGTTTGTAGTTTGAAACAAAATGAATGTGTCCTGTTTTAATACATAAACCTGCTGTGTTTTAACCAATAAATAGGACTTAATCTAAGTGCGGCTAGCTTTCTTGGATAAGGGCGAAGAAAATCAGAAGAGGGGGGGGAGGGGGCTCACGTGGCCTGGAGGTTAAGGTGTTCACCTCTCCTTCAAAGGTCCCGGGTTCGAATCTGGGTGGTGACGGAAAAATGTTCTTCTCTAAAATTGTCTCCTTTAATCTCCTTTCTTGCTCCCTTGCCATATTCCGTCGTCTGCTTTTTTCTCCACTTTCTCCTCGCACACTCTCTTATCCTTTGCCCCATTCCCTGGGCTCCTGACTCTTCCTGACTGCTACTCATTGGCTCCTTCTTACTGCTGTCTTTCAGCCACACCCCTGATCTTATGGTAGGAACTATATACACCTAGTCTTCTCGGACAAGGGCGAAAAATCTCGAAGGTCCCGTGTGCAAGTTGCGTACATCAAAGATCCCTTGGTTGTCTAAAATCAATAAGAGAAGGCTTCGTTTGCCACTCGGGCAAAATTCAAAATTTCCTACAAGCTGAAAATGTTTAATGTGTCCCACGCGCTCATATGACCTTACGCAGTTGCGAGCGTCGTAAAACACTTACCAAAAAGAAATAAAAGATCTCAGAGGTCCCGTGTGCACTTTAAAAATATGTTGGTGGTCCTAGAATTGATAAGAGTAGGCTTCGGCCGCCACCCGGTCTAGTCAGTATAACAACATATATAGAGTACCAGCGAAATCGGAATGTGGCCTCTTGAAGGAAAGTGGCGCTCCTAAGAAGGACAAACGGTCACAAACGTACAAATCAGTTGCACGGCGGGTTAGACTGCTAGCAGTCATCTACACCTGACATCTGTCAGAAGAACGCAAAGGTGAAGAATAGTGCGGTTGAACCTGCCTCAGCTGTCAGCTGTCTATGTCAGTCACCTGTCCTAACACTCACTGTTCAGTCGTACCCTTGCGTTTTTTAAAATATAATTGTCTTTTAACTTGCCCATAGAGGTCGCAGTCCAACTCGAACATGCTCATTCTGTCTTTTTTGGCAACATGTAGGCCTCAAAACCTGCTCATAGCGGCCATTTGCTACAAACGATTTCACCAAACCGTTCTGAGACTGTGTAGGTTAAATCAGTATAAAGATTTTATTATAGAAAATAATTTTGATGGCAATGAAATGAAAAGATAAAATTATTAAGATTTCAAATTTCAGGCCATCTGTTGACTTTGTCTTTTCGAGTAGGTGACCATAATTCAGATTTTCCCCTTCTTCAGCCCTGCCAATGATAAGTAACACGTTAAGACAAACATGTTAGAAGTCTTTGTGGAGAAGGGAGAGATTACAGTTCCCTACGCTTAGCATTGACGTCACGCACGAAAGACGACTTTTAGTTTATTATTCCTTTCTGAAGGGGAATCTTAACTATATTAGTTAGAGTACCTTTACTTTGTATTTGTTACCAAAGTTATCTGAACTTACCTGCCTCTTTTGGCATGCGATTAGTATCAAACAGCTGCATAGCTGTAGCTCGCTGTGAGTAACTCGATGTAGCCAAGATGAGACAGACCGCCGACATGCAGCTCCACCGTGAGTCAGTCACCCCCCACCTCCCCATGGCACCAATGTACCAGACAACACAATCTGGAGAAAAAGTGAGAGTTAAAAACTCGTCCGTGTTCGCCTTTGTCCGTCCTGGAATGACAATGGAACCATCTAATGGATGGAGTATCAACGCTGTAAGATTAGATAATAAACACTTAATTCGTCCCATGATGAAAGAAATAATGTATTCGTTTGCTTCAGCCTGATGCTTGCTAATGACAGAATATTATACGTGTGTATATTATATTGTGTGTCAAACACCTTCTCATGGTCCATGAAGACAATGTCGTCGTCTCTGACTATGATATTATTCTATAATGCTATCTAAAAGAGTTTGCCAGACCTATTCCCATGGCCTAACATAACACGTACGATATAGAAACAATCCTTTTTATTGGAAGATAAGGTACGAAGTATCTTTTGGTCACCTTTCATTTGAGTTTGACTCTACCAAAGAGTAATCAAATTTGTACTCGTATAATTTGTTGGCGAAAGGCAGCACCAGTAGGTGAAATTCAAAGTCAAAGAGAAGATTCCGGCCTGTAGCTCATTTTGTGACGTAATGTTGTCAAATGGGGAATCTCTCAGGCAAACATTAATTGGTTTAGCTGAGCAGACAAATGGCCGCCGACATTCGTCATTGTCGTAAGTCAAAATACAAGGTTTCCCAGAGTAAGCAAAAACTATTTTATGTTGTTCAGGACACTATATTGATACAAGATAATGTTTAAGTCGTCTATTTTTTAAATTATTTAAAACGGGAAATGAGACTAGAACCAGCCTTATCAAAGTCTACAACATACTTTTCATTTTTTTTTCTCGAAATGTTAACATACTGCATTGTTGAATGGGGCCTCTCATTAACTCGGTTTGTATAATGCTGGGCCACAGAGCGGGTGGTCGTGGATCGAATCCCCTACTGAGTGTTCTTGAACCGGAGTCGTTTTGTGGAGTTTTTAAAGCTCTCAACCCATCCTACTTGGTCTTATCGGAGACGGGCTTTAAATTAGGTGGTGCCGCCTTTAACAATGAATAATGGATAAATAATAAATTACATTTTCTTAATCCTCGTGAGAAAATTTGATTTCAATTACAAACATACGTACGTAAATACGTAATAAGAAATACATGCATGATACGCAATATAACACCAATACAGAGCAATTTCACAAACATGGTATTGCTTGGCACTGTGCAGCGCCCTGTTATTTGAGTTTGGGTTGTCTTGTCTTACTCAGATACACACCCCCAGTGGCCACCCATCTACATCCCGTGTCACCGACACTTGCTTGACATTACTACCACAGTCTGCACTCACAACTCACTTAGC